CAGTCATCACAAAATGCAGTTATGTAATATTACTTGGGTTTGTCTTTGTGGAGGAAGAGGTAAGGGCTGGGCATGTCTTCATCCAGTTTGAAAAGATTCTCATATTTTTTACTAGAAAAACACAGGGCAAATGTACAAGAAGGCTATTTATTATGCAGTTTCTTCAATTTACTATCAGTGACAAGCACTGGGCTTGACTAGAATGCTGCAGAGCACAGTCAGGTAAGAGGCTTTCCTGTGCTGGGTGACAGTGATTCATGCACTATGGCCAGTCAGAATCTTCTGGCTTTGACTCAGTGAGTCTCAGGTCAGGCCTGAGAATTTGCACTTCTAATGAGTTCCTAACTGATGCTGCTGGTTCCAGGAATGCCCTTTGAAAACAACTGTTCTAATGTTTGCCTAAGGTATGGGGGAGGGCCTGTTGCTGGAAGGACAGCATTTTTTCTAAAAAACAATGAATACAAAATGCAAAAATGACACATTATAAAAGGGCTAAATAAAGATGAGGGGAGAAATGGTAGGTGTCTTTGAATTGTGTTTAAACATGCTTCATGTCTTAAATTTTGGTAGGTAGGATAGCCTTTTAGTTTCAGAATGATTCCTCAGTGTGCCTCATGGTAATGTTACCTAAACTGTCTTTTTGGCCCTTTTATTAAACTACAAGTTTCTCAAGGACTGTACTGGTCAATTTTGACTCAAGTGCCTAATTCAGGAACCTTCAGGGGGACAGTTTGCTTTTTGGACCAAATTCCTTTGTTTTCTTCTTAACGTTATGTAGAAAATGCCCAGCCAAACCACAGCTCCAAATTCTCTCTCCATTTGGCAAATAGAACTGTAATTTTTTGTACTAGTAACTCTCAAAATTCCAGGTGTAAATCCCATGAGCAGTCCCCACATACACTTGGTGCTTTGTGAGTGACAGAGACCATAAACAAACAGAACAGAAATTAAAGACTGCTTTGAAATGGAAACTTCAGGTTGGAGGTCAGCATCTGCTACAGTTGCCAGCATATACTCACATCCCTCCTGTCAAACATCCTGGAGGCTGAGGGAACAGACTGTCTCCGTAGGGAGCAAGGGAGGCAGAAAGCAAGGAGGAAACCGCTGCACCTTTGTGTAGGTGAGATCACCGAGTCAGAGCTTACTATCTAAGCTTGGGTAGACATTACCAAATGGATTGCAAAATAAATGCCCGGAGCTTTTCTTTCTCCTTCCTCCCTGGATGCACACTATGAAATCTGCAGCCTTGCTATGCCCTGCATTCCTTCTGCTGAGGTGGCCTCAACTCATTTCTGAAAGGTCAGGTTCTCTTTAGGACAGGGTGCTACCAAGTCCCTTGGAGAGCACTGTCCCCTGGGCAGAGGGTGGCATGCAGCGCAAGCTTACGGGACACAGCCCAGCCTGCCCCGAATAAATGCTCTCCTCTGCATTTGCTAAACACTGAGCCTGCTTCCTGACCCAACCGCTTTCTAGGGGGTGCTGAGATCAACAGCCCTGCCTGCTTAGTCGGAAAAGGCTTCTGGCTGTGTGTAATGTCAAACAATCTGACAGGCACTTAAAAACATGTAAAATGAACATGAAGCAGAAAATATTTAATGACAGGCAGCAGTTCCTTTCAGTGCATAGAAACCTACTGGAAAATGATACTTACAAATGAAATGTAACCATTTAATTGTACCACGGTATAATGAACTCACACTAGAGTAATTTGCTTATAAAAATATGTTTTTCAAATGTCTACTCTGCTATAGGCAGGTCTAAAATGTATTTAAAATTATCTGATTGAGAAAGTCCTCTAATTTTAGGTTCAAATGAACTATGGAGCTTCTAAAAAACAATTCCTTAGAAGCTTCAAAGTAAAATTTATGATTTCTCACGAGGGAGCTACTCTTTCAAGGAAAAACAACACTATCAGATAAGGCTGTGTAAATAAGAAAACATAACTCAGGATCTAAGTAGCACCAGATGGTCCTGGTACAGGGGTGCTGCTGTATCTCATGAGTTCAGGTGATGTGCCTGCCTTTCCCCTTAAGGCCATTTGAGTCCTACATTCAGTATCAAAATGAGAGTGGAAAGATAGACATTCCATTGACAGGTGTCAAAAGCTAGCAGAAAGTGAATACATAAAGGGCTCCAAATAAAACCTGAATCTGAAGATTTTATAAACCTTGATGGATAAACTTAGGCGAAACTAACCTTCAGGCAACATGAAATTTTCCCTCTCTGGAGTCTCCAGTACTCCATGGGGGACAGACTTGGTTTCTTTGGAAGAGCACATGAGTGGGATCTGACTGTGTTTCTTGGTGTAAGCACTGTGGCATTTTCATGGAGATAAATTTCTGTCGTGTAGCTCTATCCTGGACATTACAGGGTATTGAGCATACATACTTGTGCTGGCTCCAGAAATGCTCCCAGTTACTGTCACAAGCAAAATCTTTCAGATGAGGCAGACAAGGTCACTGTCCTTTCCCTCAGGAAACTAACAGGACCACCCACCTAGAAAACTGGTGCTGGGTGTGGTGCCTGCGGGACGTGAGCAATCAAGGACATTTTCAAAGTTCTCGGCATGAGTTAGCACAGGACTGTGCCTGAATAGTAGCTTGTTCTCAATGAGGGGGTTGTGTGTTGTTTTGACTGCTGTGCCTGGCAGATGCTGAATTAAGATGTGGAAGACCAATGGGAAATTTGCTACCATTAATGTCACTTCTTGTGGGCAGGCAAGACAGTGAGAAGGCCTAGTGCTTATATAGTTTGAATGTGGAATGTCTCCCAAAGCCCACATATTAAAGGCTTGGTTGTAAGACTGTGGCATTCTTGGGAGATGAAGGAACCTTTAAGAAGTGAAGTCTATGGAGAAAAGTTTTATCACGGGTTGTGCTCTTACAGGGACATGGGCAGCCTGATTCCTTTTCTCTTTCTGCTTCCTACTCACCAGAAGGTGAGCAGTTTCCTGCACTACAGGCTCAAAGCCATGTGGCCACATGATCATGGACTGAAACACCTCTGAAATCATGAGCCAAAACAAACCTTTCCTCTTAAGTTATCTAGTCAGCTTTCTGTCAGTGTGACGAAGTACTTAACACACCAAGCTTCGGCAGACAGCTCAACAAGAACCTGTAGAGTTTTACCCGTAGTTCTATATGCTTCTTGAAAGAGTCAGAGGTATGAAGGTCCTATTGCTTCTATGCTATAATGGAGTTGTCCTGATGGGAGCCATGGGGGAAGATGCATCGCTGTGAAGGGCTGGGGGAAGCAGACATCCCTTAAAAGAACTGACATCCCGGTGTCCATCATCGGGGAGGGGCTAATTTTAGGAGAAGACACATACAGAACAGGTGGGGACTGCAGGGCTTCTGAAGTACAGTCAAGGTTTGTGTATCCTAGATGAAGCTGCTGAATGGGCCCCCTACATGCGGAAAGATAAGTCCTGTCCATAATATTGACATTGGGTTGGCAATAATGTAAATCACTCCCTGGTTTATACATCCTAAGATGCTAGTCATAGAACCAAAAGCTGCAGCATGGGCTTACTTTACATACTGTGGGTAGCTAAGAAAAGGGCAGGCTCTGAAGAGAAGTGCTTCCTCTGAGCAGTGAGCAGCAAGTGACACATGAAGAGCCCCACGGCAGATGCAATGCAAAGCTGCATGATTGGGAAGCAATGAGAGGGGACTTGAGGACATTCACACAGCACCACGGGGGACCGTAGCATAGCAGGGAGCTCAAAGTCATCATAGTTAGGGCAGCAATGGAAATACAACCTGTTCAGTACTCAACACATGGCAGAGCCTGGACATGTGACCATCGCAGGCATCTGTTCAGGTATAAAGCCGGGGCCAGTCACCACTCCCCCGTAAGTGCCATTCTGAGTTGTCGGTCCTTCTTCCCTCCTGCCTCTCAGTGGTACCCTCCCCTCCAGGATTCCCGTGGCACACTCTGTACGTCTGTGGGCCAATTTCTCATTTGTGCTGTTGAGCTTCAGGTAAAGATGTCACTTTACCAATCACTATTTTTCTTCCCTCCTAAGACCTTTAACAACAGTCACAAGGAATATTCTAAGAGATTAGACTCTTACTTACTGCCTTCTATTTATCATCCTGTATTATACCAGCACATGCTTTGGGAATGTGTAAGAAGACATGGAAAAGGGAATGGCTCTTTGGCTGTAGCCAAAAGAGTGTCACTTTTAAGCAGGTAAAACTGAATAAAACTTATTTTGGTGAGTCTTTACTTGCTGGAAATACCTGGTTCTAGTAGTGAGCTGTCCACATGGGGCCTCTGGGGTGGCTGCCTGCAGTTCTACGGGCTGGGGGCACAGTAACATTTGGATGCCATGAATGCATGTTACGTGTCTCTGTCTTTCTGATTTGTCCATGATTCTAAGTGGTTTGGGCATCATGGTGGAGAGCTCTGTTTCCATGGGATCAAACTGGTTTTGATAGGTTCAAAGTAGTTGTGAATGACTCAAACCAGATGAAAGTGGTTCTTGCTGGATCAAACAGGATTGCCCCTTTTAAATTTTGATAAAACATATTCAAATAGGTTATAACTGGCTCAAACTAGTTTACACTGCATTAGACTTGCACTAACTTGGTTAGACTAGCAAGGTTAGATTGATCAAGTGGCTTGTTTTACTTGAGTAATCCAGTTCAATCTAGCTTGAACACAATCAACAGGTTCAAAAGCAATGGCATCCACCTTGAATCAACTCTTTGCATGAATGTTCAAGTCACTGACTTCTACCAACTTTTCAAAGTCTACAATCATATTTACTTTTCCTCATGTGTTGCTATATAGAATAACCTAATAGTGTTGAAAGACTCTTAATACACATTGGAAATCCTCTTGTTCTTAGAACTTTTAAGAGGGACAACTGCCTGCAATGTTATCTCAATCCACTCTAAACTCAGGACTAGACACAGAAGTGTGGGATGGCACTGTGGATGGCTCAGGTCCCCACAGCCGCCCACCATCTTCCTTCAGCCACATGGTCCCCTCACCTTGATCCTGCTTACTGCTTCCTGTGCCTGCATCATGCGCACATTTTTGGAGGGAGTTTTGTCTGAGAGCAGCTGGGTGGAGCCAAGGTAATTGGCAGCAAAAATGATTCCATCGATCAAGTCTTCAGGGTCACAAGGTCCAGGAACTGTAACACACAGAGCAGCAGCAGTGAGTGAAGTCACCCTGGGGAGGGCCTGCTGAAACCCGGAAGGCATACCACCCCCTCCCATGCACATTACTTGTAAAGATGGGTCAGGTACAGAGGCCCCTGGACAGGTGGTCAGCCTGCTGGCCTGAGGCACTTATATCTGCCTTAATTCACCTCTCCTCAGAAGGCACGGTTTCTTACAGTAACTTCCCCCAATCCATGTACTGTGAGAAATAATGCAAGTATTTACTTAAATATGAAGCATAAAATCTAGCAATGAAAGATGTTTCTCTTGTTAAGACCATGAGGTCCTGGGGGACAAGAACCATGTCATATTCATCTCTGAGTCTTGTGTTTGTTACCTCTTGGGTATCAATTAGATTTTGCTAGATAAATGGCTGGGTGAGCTCAAGACTTATTGGAAAATGCTATTTTATACAGCACTTACTACTTATCATCTGTTCATATCTCTCTCCTCCATAATGGAGTAAATGATTTCCATAAATTAGAAAAATGGGATATTTCATTTGGAATATCTGGATTTCTTTAATGGCTTCTGACCCTAATTCTGAAAGATACATAACATTTCCCCCAAGCCATGGTCCCATGCTGCCAATCTTGCCAACTTAGAGGCCATAATATTTACCACTTGTGCCTGCACACAGATCAATTCCAAGGAAAAGCAGAATTTTCTCTTCTCGTTCACCATTCTAGCAAATCAAACCTTAATTTAATTTTATTGCTACATTTTAGGTGTACAATATAATGACATTCATCATTGGAAATTTGCACCTTTACATAATCTCTTCTGGTTATTTTTCCCCCTCCCCCTGCCCTCCTTCCAACCCCTCCATCCCTATTTACACAGACTTTGTTTCCATTTTTGCATTTTCTCATATTAATTCCATTCCCTTTCCTTCCTCCTACCCCTCCCCCTTCCCCTTTGCCCCTTTTCTTCCTATTTCACATTATCTATTATACCTTTTAGTCCTTATTTGCACTTTCAGTTTCTCACACTAGAGAAATTATTCGGTATTTATACATATGTGTCCTATTTATTTCACTTAAGCGTATCACCTCAATGTGCATCCATTTAGCTATAAATGTCTCTAATTTCTCATTTTTTTATGGCTCAGTGGTACTCCATTTTATAAAAAAACCACATTTTCTTTATCCAGTCTCCAGGTGATGGGCATTTGGGCTGCTTCCAAGTTTTAGCTATCACAAATTGTGCTGCTATGAACATGGGCGCACATATATCACTGTGCTATGATTCTTTTAATTCTTTGGGGAAGACACCCAGCAGGGGAATAGCTGGGTCAAATGGGACTTACTTCTTTGAGTCCTACTTCTTTGAGGTATCTCCATACTGATCTCCACAGTGGTTGCACCAGTCTACACTCCCACCAGCAGTGGAGCAGGGTTCCTCTTTCCCCACAGCCCTGCCAGCATTTGTTATTGATTTCATTAGAGCAGCCATTCTTTCTGGAGTGAGGTGGAATCTCAGAGTTGTTTTCATTTGCATCTCTCGAATGACCAGTGATGTTGAACACTTTTTCATATGTTTATTTGCTATTTCTACTTCTTTGTCTGAGAAATGTCTGATCATTTCAGATGCCCATTTTCAGACTGGGTCTTTACATTTGGGAGGTCTGATTTTTGTAAGTTCTTTATAGAGTCTAGATAGTAGACCTTTGTCTGAGGAAGAGCAGGTGAAGATTTTTTCCCACACTGTGGGTTGTCTCTTCACACTGTTGGTGGTTTCTCTTGCTGTGCAGAAGCTTTTTAATAAGAGATCCCACTTGTTGACTGTTTGTGCTAGTTCATGGGCAACTGAAGTTTTGTTCATAAAATCTTTTCCTAGACCAATGTGTTCAAGAGTTCTACCTAACCTCTGTTGCAGGCAATTCAGGGTTTCTAATTTAATATTTAAATCCTTAATCCATTTTGATTTTAGTTTAGTGCATGGTGAGAGATATATGTCTAGTTTTAATCTTTGACAAGTTGAAACCCAATTTTTCCAGGACCATTTATTAACAGTGAGGGTGTTTGGCTCCTTTATCGAAGATGAGATGGCTGAGTGTGTCTGGAGTTGTTTCTGCATCTTCTAATCTGTTCCACTGGTCCTCAGATCTGTTTCTTTGCCAGTACCATGCTGTCAAACCTTAATTTTAAATATTTTCAGTAGAAGCATCTGATTCTAACCACAATCACCTGTAAGCTGTATGTGAAATTAAAATATATCTGGGACCAACATAACTTTTAACAGGTTCACTAAGACAGGCATGTTAATCTGTAATCGAAACATTTTCTTTGACTTGAAAAATGTCAAATCTGGGGTAACTAAAATATACATTTAACCTGCTGTTAAAACCTCAGCAACTTGAAAGGGGAATAGTTTGCTTTTCCTCTTGGAGGGCTTACCTGCAATGGTTTTTATTTTTATCTTTAACCATCAACTCAAGATGAGTTTACACAGTTGCTTCCCATGATAAGCTACTTACCAGGGTACAGACTTACAACAATCTATTCATTTTTTTCTAAAACTAAAGAGGTGGCTGAACAAAGAAATTAAAAATGTTTTAGAAAAGACCTTCATAAAGCATCTGTGTAATGCTGTAATAAGGAAACCTGTTACACGTCCTAGTCTCGATCTTTCCAGGGAAGACTTCTGGCCAAACACTCTAAGTGGTATACAACCCAACCTGGCTTCATGGTTCACCAGGAATTTACATTCTTCTCAACAGTTACGTGGTTCCCACCCTGAAACTTTTATGGATATGAGACCGAATCAGGTTATTTACAATAACTAGTTTTAGATGTATAGCTGGAAGTACTAATTTAACTAAATATATAGGAAGACTGTCAGTCTTAAGACTAATTCCTAGTGGTAGATTTACAATATTGATTATTTTTCTTAACTTTATGTTGAGAAAAAAGATCTCATCTGGGATTTTTAAAAAAATCTTCTATTTTGTATGCTAACAGAAAAACAAAAATTAACCTACCTTTTCTATGGGACTTCCAAAATCATCTACTCATCTCTGATTAGCTCTATTCACTGAAAAGTGTCCCTTTTCAACCACAGTAAGTGTGAGATTGCAGATAGGTTTAAAAAGAAATCCAAATAAGTATAAATGCCAAGCATCTAAAGACACAAAAATTGGATGCAAACAAATTTTAAGGTTAGATATGATCTTATGCCATTTATCCTTCAGGGAAATTGACTTTAGTCTTGGTGGTGGTGTATTTTTAAAAAAGCAAAGCTATAACAATCCTACATCACAAAATTTCAGGTTTCACTGTGGCCTTTTAGAACATGTTTCTCTCCTCCTTTCAGGCTGCTCTGTGGGAGAATGAGCACATGTTACATCTTCACAGGTAGGTTAATGCTGAACCTGAAATTCCTGAGGCCTGGTGGGATGGCTATGACGAAAGGAGTTTCCAAACCTCTGAAAACTTTCCAAGATGTTCTTGTGGCATTTCAGAACTTCACACACACACGGTACAAATAGTTAACAGCTTACTCAATTAGAAACCCACCATAATTCAATTATACCAAACTATTTACTATTAGCTTGCCCTGGGCTTCAGGCCCATGTGGTCATGGAAGTTTATGAATTCTGCTAACTCATTTCCAGGCAGCAAAGCACAGCACTGTTCATTCACAGGACCCAAAGGCTGGACATAGCCTCCTGAAGAGTCTCTTCAAGGAGGTAGCAATCTACCCTACCAGAAAACCTATCTGCCCCACCCCTGCTACAGCATCAGTGTTACCTGTAGCCAGAGGGTGACTCTGGGAATGAGGACTACACACCCCATTTGGGTGGCATGATCTCAAGCTTTGGGCTGAGTGTTGGGCCCCCTGGTCTTCAGTCCTGAAGAGAACATGGGCTCCAGAGAAAATCAAGAAGTTAGCTGGTATCAGAGGCTGCCTTCATAACCTGGCTCTGCTACCTCCCTGATATCAGGCAAGTTATTCACCCTCTCGATGCCTCCATTCTCTCATGCATAGCATAAAAACAATTAAAAAACTCACCTCATGAAACCGATGAAGGAGTCAATTAGTATTATATGCAAAATGCTTAGAAAAGTACCTGCCAGAGATTGTTTGTGTACTAATAAAAGTTCATCTAAATAAGAGATGGGATTTATTGGGAATGCTTTTCCCTACAAGGACCAAAGTTTCTTCACTAAAGTTTATACTATTTGAATTGCTCTGGAGGGATATAGGAGATGCACTGGGTGGAAGTAAGTAAGGTGACTTGGCTAAGCTGTACCACACTGGGTGAAGCCCACAGCTTCAGGGTCACTATCCATATAAGGAGGAAGATTTCTGAGAGATGTACTGATACTGGTTTTTTGATCCAAGATCCTAAGATTGTTAGCGCTAGAGTCAGTAACTTTGTGGGTTTTCTTCCACGCTATTTCCTTCTTTTCAGTGGTTCAAATGCCCCAAATAATGAAAAATTCATGAATGATTCAGTGCATAATATTTTCGTTTTGACTCTTACCTTCAACGTAGGTTGGGAATGAAGCCAAGCTTTTTCTTGACTGTAATTAAGACAAAGAGGTTTCAAAAAGGGCAAAGCATAATGAAATATGCATCAGCACAATCATCCAGGCAATATGAAAAAGGAAAAATGTATCACCAGTGGCATTTGTTAATCAGTTATTAACCATTTACGGGCAAAGACAGTGTGGATAAACATGCATTTATTATTAAAGGTTATCTAAAACCGAGAACAGTCTGTTCAAATTTCAGATAATCAGAAGACTACACATTTCAGACAGATGTCTGTCAGCTTAAAAAATATTGTACAGAACAAAATCTATATTCAGCAACAGCAGTAAAAATTTTATATTCTTAAGACTGAGTTCCATGTGAAAAAATGTTGATTAGTAAGAGAACCAACATTACGAATGTATACAAAATTCCTGGGCTGGAGATTTAGCTCCGTGGCATTGCGCCTACCTTGCAAGCACAATCAGTCTCTGGTACCAAAAAAAAATAAAATTCCCTTAGAGAATTTTACTTCTTTGCTGCAAGGATCTCTACGCTAAAAATGTGTGCTAGTTTTTTACCCTTCTTCCTTTCACTCTTACTGATTGATTCAGTTAAAAAATACCATTATATAAATCATAACTGTATGTTACCTTAAGATAAGAATATAACAAAGGAATAAATTAAAAATCCTAGAACTTCTTAGATTAAGTGACATCTCCTAGCAGAGGAACATCTTCTTAACAGTGTAATTGGAGATAGATGTGATGAGCTAGAACCTTCTAGAACTTGACTAGCAGTTTAAATGCTAGCACTGAGACAACACTTCAAGTGAATTAGGAGCAGGAAATTCATAGATCAGGCAGGTCTAGGGCAGGGTGATGCTAGTGTCACAGGTACATTTATCTATTCTCTATTCATGAGCTCATAACTAGCTTTCTTTAGTCTCTGGGGTAATGAATTTCCTCTAAAAAAGAGTTTTGTGAAATGAAAGAATCTCTAATTATTGTGTACAAAGAAGAATTTCATCATTATTTCTAAAGATATGCAGAAACATGTGCCAAGTCTTGTAGGAACTGAAAAACTAACAAATTTGCCTTGGTTATTATATCTGATGCATAATCAAAGGCTGAATGTTCACATGTCTAATTAGCCTTTTGTTTTTCACATGTGGATAGAGAAGAACATAAGCTGACCCTTAGCACTGAAGAATGAAAAAGCTAAAGGCTAAGATCCTTGGGGTTTTTCTGGGGGTTACATAAAACACCGCAGAGGATGAAGCCTGACAGGCAGAATAATGACGCATAAGTTACCTTGCCCACACAGTCTGGGACCTGCAACCACTTTCCTCTCTAGGGGCAGCAGTTCTTGGCAAATAAGAGCATGGGCCCATGGGACCTCTGGAGTCAAATCCGGGTTGGCCTTCATGAACTCTGTGACCTCATGTAAGTCACTCAACCTCTCAGCTTTCTTGGCTAATAAATAAGGGCAAGGCTATCTACCTCAGAGAATTATCTTCAGAAGTAAATGGAATCCTAGCTGTGATTCTCAGCCGGGAACACGGTAATGTTGAATGGATGGTTAACACCCATTACTGTAGCTGTCATTCTTTCTTCTTACTATTTGTCCTCACTCATCTGTGTGCTATGAGTGAAGTATGAAGCTGTACGGTAGGAGTGGGGGAGACCAGCAGAAACTGGGACTCTGTCACGACTGAGGTCTGAGGATGGGCCACAGAAGGACAGAGGACATTTTAAGTCTAAATTCTAAGGTTTAGGTCATTTCAAAGAAGGTTTATGTGTGTCTAATACAAAGAGTAATAAAAAAAATATACTTCTTCACATGAATAGTATGTGTATTCCATGATAGACTAAGGGTAAGGTTAAACTAAGACTTGCTCTAGAAGTGATCAGCCACTCAGGTCAAAGCAGACTGTTTTCTTCCATTGCATTTAACATAAAATCAGCAAAACAAGCAAGCTTGAGCCAATCGTTCATTACATGATTACCTCTATATGTGGTTAGCAACTATATTTGAGGGAAGCTGAGCCCCCACATAGATTACTGCCAGATTACTGCCCAGGCCAGTATTTACCTGAGGCTGGGACACAGGTAGGACGACAGTCCCCTGTATGTCACAGGAACTGGATACTGGTGAAGGCAGTGGCTTCTGAGAAAAAAATACTTGCCCTTTCCTAGCCCCAGAAACCTCAGGAGGAGCAAGTAGCATCTTCTCATTTAAACACTGTATGGCAGAGCTTGGTTTGTCCCCCACAGGAAGGGTGAACATTCAGCTTGTCTAAAAGGGATTTTAGGGTTGCTCTCTCAGTAGCCTCAGCCACACGTGGCTATTTATGTTAATTTTAAAATATCAGTTCCTCATTCCCTGGCTGCATTTCAAGGGCTTAACAGGCACCTGAGTCTAGTGAGCCACACCACCCCAACTAGACAGCACAGAAGCAGACACCTCATCCTCACAGAACATTCTCTTGGACAGTTGGTATGAAATGGAACCGTGATTAAGAGAAAATGACATGTGGTCACGCTGCCCTTTTCACAAGACTTGAAACAAATGAAACCAACCCATTTTCTGAGTTACACAGCATTGGCTGATCTATGGTATCAGAAGGCATTCAATGCCATGAGGAAGGATGCTGACACAGAGAGTTTTTGATGTTCAGAGCTGTCCAGTAGAGGACACTAGTGTTTTGTCACCTGCTCCATCCAATACAGGGGCCACCACCCACAGGTTGCTACTGAGCACCTAAAATATAACATGAACTTTTCCTTTTATTAAAATAGCTGTGGCTACCAAATGGGGCAGCATGGCTTTAACAGACAAACTGCATAGTGGAAGGGAGCTCTCTGAGGACTGGAGAGAGCACAGAGCAATATGAGAATAAAACCAAACAGGCTGACGGCTTTACAAATAAGCAGTGCCCTACCTCTTTGTTTGTGGAGGCTTCCTCAGGGTCACCGGGATGAAGGGGTGTACTTGACGACTCTGCCCCCAGGGGTGAGGAACTGCCAGGAGATGGAGACTAGAACAAAGCAAGAGTGCAGACATCAGTGAGAATGTGAGCCACACCTCTGGGAGCCCAGGGGAAGGATACGGGCAGAGAGGGGGCAAACCAGAACACAGAGGGACACTTCAGTTGGGAGAAACTCCTTTGGAAATAAACTCCTAACTGTACAGAACAAGCTAGGGGCATTTAAACTTTCTTTTCAATTGTTGCTATCTCTTCAAAGAAGTTTTATTGCTCTGGTTGCCTCCCCTCAGGCTAAATGTTGAAAAAAACTATAGAAAAAGTTGACTATTAAACTTGTAGTCCTAAATGAATAGAGTGAAAGCTATTACACAAATGTCTTTTTTCTTAAAGATACATATACTTAGGCTACCAAATGTCTATAAAATTGCCTGCCCAGACAGACGTGGTGGTGCACACCTGTAATCCCAGCACTCTGGAGGCTAAGAGAGGATCACAAGTTCAAGGCCAGCCTTAAGTACACAGTGAGACCCTGTCTTAAAAACAAAACAAAATAAAAACCCCCAACAAAACACACAAAAAACCCCAAAAATCTGCCTAAAATGACTTGAATGGAAAAATAAAATTAAGATTCTTTATTTTTAAAGAGCCAACTGAGGCTAATTTTGGTGATTAGAAAACATACCCCATGGGGCTGGGGATTTAGCTCAGTAGTTCCAGCGCCTGCCTCGAAAGCGCGAGGTCCCGAGTTTGATCCCTGGTACCAAAAAAAAAAAAAAAAAAGAAAACATATACCCTGTAATCTATAGCCCACTGAAAATTGAGAGATGATTTGCCACCCAAACCAAATTATCTTGGATACTCTTAAATGATTAAGAAATCCTCTGTCAAATGATGTTTGGCTTTGAAAACTAGGTTTGGGGAGCACAGGCCCTGTCGGGTGCCTCTGTGGATGGGTCCAGCCCTGCACGGGCAGGCCCTGCTGCAAATGAAAATTGAAAACCCTGTTTAGGGCACAAAGCACAGCAGGCGCCCCATAAATGTCTGCCGAGTGAGCGGCTGAATAAAGCAAGCAAGCAAGCAAACACAGGGATGGACAAATGCAGGCTCTGGAAACACATCCTGGACCATATGGCGACATTTCGGTGTGCTCCTAAAATCTAGGGAGATAATGGCCTCCCCTGGTGAGCCACAGAAGTGCTTAGCAGTTCTGCAGCAATGGCCCTCTGAGAGCAAGAATGCAGAGCTTCCCAGTTGAGGGTGATGCCTGACAGAGCCCGCTGTCACAGAAAGAAATGACACAAGATGTGTTCTCTCAGGAAGTGTGGGGGTGTGAGGGAGCAGGGGAGGGAAGTTCCCAGCAGGAAAAGCAAAAAAACCACTAGTGTTTACTCAAGTCTGCATCTATCACTTGAGCCTGGCCCTCTTGGGGAAGCCGCGGTACAGACATCAGTGAAATACTCCTGTATGGAAAGGGAGAATGTTTCACAAAGCAATGGTGCTGGGGGCAGGGAGCACATTTAAAGATGAATGGAATTCAGTGAACATTATGTGAAATTTTAATCTTTTACAGGAAATACAGGGGATACTAAATGAACCAAAAGCTGATATGGTGCAATGCGTTATTATTCAGACCAAGAAGTCGCATGATGCCAGCCCAGAGCTGTGAGGCTTGGATCTGCTTCCCGTGGGCCCACATATCACCATTCGAGGCAGCCAGCTGGGGACCAATGAGCTCCTTAAATATTCACATGCAGGAGTCAGCCACTCTGCAGTAAAGTCAAGAGGGCAGGAACAGAGTGTGGGCAGATACAAAGCACCCCATGGCCCCTGGCCACAATAAAGCAGCCCTGCATGCCTATAAGAAGAAGAACTCAGAATCTTTTCACTCAGTACCAAGAGATTTGGTGGGTACTTGCTGATTTTGCACTCTTTGGCCTATTCAAAATTAATATAGGAAAGTATAAGAATTTAATGCCTTTAAATATCCTCAAATTTTCAATTTTGGAGCGCTTCCTTTCATATTTATGGCTTGATTTTTCCCAAGTAATTTGCTCTGTCACAAAGATTTTAAAGGTTCAGCCCAAGAAAGCTAGTGCAGTTTTTCTTTAACTCCTTGGTTTCTGGACCGTGTATCATCCTCATTAAAAAAAAAAAAAAAATCCCTGAGAGTCCCATATTTCCCATATCTTTGTTTTCTCTGATGCTCTAAAAATAGATTCCTTACAACCTGGCTGGTAGCAGACTGTCCCAAGACGATGTGAGCGGGCAGGGCTGTGGAAGAGCGTGGTCAGACCCCATAGTAGAGCTAAGTGTTCAATAGTAGGTGCCCGTCAGGGAATCCAGGGGAAGAAGAGTGAAGTCTGGGGTGGGGGCGGAGGTCCCTCACCAGGGCTCTCATGGACCCACTACAACCTTATGAGAGACCACCTCCCCTCAGACACCAGATGCTCTAGGCTTCTGCCCAAGTACAAGGTCACGTGAATTTTCTTCCACGTGCATATGTATCGAATGACCTCCATCTACAGAGTTCCCCTCATTTTCTTCTGCGCTCTCCTCCCTGATGCTTTCTCAAGCTCTATTCACAGTACATCTGTCCCCGAATGGCATGTACTGTGTTCTGTAATGTTTGCTTATGTGTATGCTCCTCCTCCATCAAGAGCTCTTAGGTGCCAGGGATCTTGTCTCCTGCATCTTCATTACCCAAGTGCCATGCTGTGGGTCATGAGAACAGCAGGTATCAACAAATGTAGGCACTGAATCAATGATTTCAATATGCTTTCTAGCTTTATACTGTTTTCAGTTTGCATGTGAAGCAGATGTTACAGACCTGCCTACTACTTCCCTAGATTATATTTTAGCAGCCAATGGTAAACCCTTTTTAAATAGTCCCTCTGTTACTATGTGTAGAACATTCAATCTGCACTTTGAACTAGAGGAATGATCCTTGTCTGTGAAGATTAACCTGGGCTCCAGTGAAGTTCTTTTGAAAGACAGCTGTCCTTAACAAAAAAAGAGGACCCCATCATGCAAAAGCCTACAAATCACCACAAGCCACTGCAGGCCAAGTTAAGGGTGGAAAGCACACTCAAAGGGACCCAAATCCAGTGGAGCTGAAAGGGATTCAAATATCTGCTTCAAAGGCCCTTTGCCAGGTACCTCCAGCTTCTGCCCCAACGTATACTCTTCAAAGTGGAAGAAAAAAGAACTATTTACTTTCAAAGATGTATTGGAGGCAAACTTTAGCCAATGATATGGGAGAGAAAAAGTTAAGATTATCATTAACTTTCTGTCTGGAGTTTCAGGCCCTCTGGGCTGCCAGATGGATACTTAATCTAAGGCAAATGTGGATGTGGGAATTCATGAAGGTGAGTATGGGGAAGTCTCCTCTGTGTTCTGTAGCCTCAAGCCCACGTTTACTGGTGCCACAGACCCTAGCATCACCAGAGAAGGTCCTGTCCCATCATGAGACTCCATAACAGTGGCCACTGGTACCATAGGCCTGGCGTCTCCCAAATCCACCCCGAAGGACCTAGGGACCCTTTAGCTTGTGGCTTAGGAACTGGGACTGCGCGTGCCACAACCCTCAAATCCCCTATGCTTTTCCTGAGAGATCTAAGCATAGTCCTTTCCACACCCTGCACAACTGAGACTTGGTAGCTACTTCCACAAGCTCTGATGACACAAGGGCTCGACTTTGCAGAGCATCAAGGCACATCCCTGAAGTCCACATTCACTGCCAAGTGATGCCACCATGTCCATGAACTGGTGCAGTCTAACTACTGAGGCTGCTGAATCAACACAGACCAACAAATCAGAGACTATGCTTTTGAGTTCCCGTATAAACAAACCCAAGTCACCTGCCCAGCTGAAATCTTACATCCTATAAAATTAAAAAAATCTTCTCCAGCAAAAATGATTTCATAAAATTAGAAGAATAAACATACCCAATGTGCAGACATCAATGTATGGATATAAGAAACATGAAAGGAAATATAATACCTCTAAATGAGACAGTAATTCTCCAGAATAGATTTCAATTTGAAGGAAGTCTATGAAATACCTGAAAAAAATTTTAAAATAATGATCCTAAGGAAACTCAGATTCAAGAGAATATAAATAATCAAAAATTGAGAAAAACAACTTAGAATATTAAGGGAAATTCACCAAAGAGATTGAAATCATAAAAGAGAACCAATCAGAAATATTGGAAATAAAAACTTCAATCAGTATAAAGAAAAGTACAATAAAGAATTTCCAAAACAGACTAGAACAAGGGGAAGAAGGAATTTCAGAACTTGAGGACAGCTCTGTTGAATTAACCCAGGAAGAAGAAAGGGGAGGAGGATGGGGAAGAGGAGACAGTCAATGATGAAGACAAAGAAGATGAAGAAAAAAAGAAAAGAGATTACAAGTGGCACTAAAATACCCAACTTCAAAACATACTACAAAGCTACAGTAGCTAAAATAGCACAGTACTAGCATAAAAAGACACATAAGGCAATGGAACAGAACAGGACTGTGTTCCGACCAACTGATTTTTGACAAAGGCATTAAGAACATACAACGGAGAAAAGATGTCTCTGTAAATGGTGCTGGTAAAACTGGTTATGCATATGTACAAGAATGAAATTAGATCTCTTCCTCTTGCCATACATAAAAATCAACTGAAAATGGATAAAAGACCTAAATCTTAAACTGAAATTATCAAATTACTACAAGAAAACAGGAGGAGCACCTTAAGTGTGGGTGGTAATTTTTAGATGGAATCCCAAATACATAGGCAACAAAAGTAGAAATAGACAAATGGGCTTATAGCAAACTAAGATGCTTCCACATAGTAAAGAAAATGATCTATAGAAATGATCTACAGAAGAGACAACCTACAGAATAGGAGAAATTTGCAAACTGTTCATCTGAGGAGGCATTTACAACTAGAATGTATAAGAGACTAAAAAACTGAACACCAAAGAAGAAATCCAATTTAAAAATGGGCTCAACAAATAAGCATATGAAAAAATGTTCAACATCACTGGTCATTCGAGAGATGCAAATAAAAACAACACTGAGATTCCACCTCACCCCAGAAAGAATGGCTGCTATCATGAAGTCAACCAATAACAAATGTTGGCGGGGCTGAGGGGAAAAAGGAATCCTTCTCTATTGTTGGTGGGAGTGTGGACTGGTGAAACCACTGTGGAAATCAGTATGGAGATTCGTCAAAGAACTAGGAGTAGAGGTCCCATTTGACCCCGCTATTCCCCTGCTGGGTATCTTCCCCAAAGAATTAAAAGAATCATACCACAGCGATATATGTGCACCCATGTTTATAGTGGTACAGTTTGTAATAGCTAAAACTTGGAAACAGCCCAATTCCCCATCAACTGGAGGCTGGATAAAGAAGATATGTTTTTGTTTTTGTTTAAAAATGGAGTACTACTCAGCCATGTACAGAAAGACAAACTAGAGACATTTATAGCTAAATGGATGCCCACTGAGGCCATGCTCTCAAGTGCAATAAATAGGACACACGTGTAAATACCAAATAGTTTCTCTGGTGTGAGAAACTGAAAGTGTAAATGAGGATCAAAATGTATAACAGATATTGTGAAACAGAAAATGTTCAAAGGAGAAGGGGAACTAAGGTGGGGGGAGGGGGGAAGGAAATATGGGAAAGAAAAAAAAACAGAAACAAAGCTTATGTAAATAGGGAGGAGGAAGGGGTTGAAGGGAGGGAAGGGGAATGGGAAAAAATAAGAACCAAGATATATCATGTACAGGTACAAATTCCCAATGATGAATGTGATCATAACGTGTATCTAAAATGTACCAATAAACTTAATGAATAAAAAAATAAAAATGGGCTGAAGAACCAAACACTTCTTAAAGACAATGGAAACAAGTACATGAAAGAATGCTTAAGTGCACTAATCACAGAGAAGTGCAAATCAAAGTCACACTGAGATAGCATCTCACCCCAGTTAGAAAGGCTATCATCAAAAAGAAAAAAACCAACGCTGACAAGGATGCAGAGTAAAAGGAACTTTAACACCCTGTTTTTGGGAATGTAAATTAGTACATCCATTAGGGGAAACAATACGGAGAATCCTCAAAAAATTAGAAATAGAATGACCACATGATCCAGCAATTCTACTACTGGGTATACAGATACAAAGGAGATGAAATCATTATTTCAAAAAGGCACCTGCCCTTCCATTTTTAATGTAGATTATTCACAATAGCCAAAATATGGGATCAACCTATATTCCCCCCAGGGGATGAAGGGATAAAATGTGGTAAATTCACACAATGAAATATTATTTAGCCATAAAAAGAATTAATTTCTGTTATTTGCTGCAAATAGATGAACTAGAGGTCATTATGTTAAGTGGAACTAGCCAGACACAGAAACAAAAATACTACATTCTTACTCATTTGTGGTGACCAGTAAATCAATCTTGCAGAAGAACAGAATGGAACAGTGGTTGCTAGAGATTTGGTAAGGGCAGTGAGGAGGGAGAACAGAAAGTAATAAGGGACATCAAAAACACAGACTGGGGAAATCACTCCTGGTTCTGTTTTAGCATGGTAGGGTAACAACTGGTTAAAACAATCTCTGATATATTTCAGAATGATTAGAAAAAAGTATGAAACTCCCAACACAAAAATGATCAGTGGTAGAAAAGATGGAAATGCTTATTATCCTGATTTGATTGTTACACATTGTCTACACATACAGTTACTGTGACATACCCCATAAAGATGTACAGATATTATGTCTTCATAAAATATACACATATAAATATACAAAAATAAAATGCCAATGATCCCAATAATACTGTATTTTCATCAAATATAAATAATCATCCAGTGCACTGTATCATACTTGGAAAATTAACTGTGGTCAGATGGGAAGGACGGTGGCCAACATTCCTTTTGTGATCATCATAAAATTAAAGAATATGATGACTACTAAAATTCCACTCTATATTTATTCTCATAAAATTAGATATGAAAGAGTTTTAAAATGCCATGATCTGAATGTGTCTCCCAAAATTCATGTGCTGAAAAGTTAATCCTCAGCACAACAGGGCAGAAACAACACAACAAGTTAATGTCGAAAGAGGGAGTTTGACTCCCCTTTGCCCCCTGTCTTATATGTGCTCTCTTGCATTGAGCCACATTACAACAGCATGAAGACCCCAGGCAGATGCCAGAGCCATGCTCTTGGAATTCCCTGCCTCCTGAACTGTGAAGCCAATAAACTTGTTCTTTATCAATTACCCAGTCTGTTATGGCAGCAGAAAATGGGCAAAGACAAAGAGATAAATGGGAAGGATGACGATAACAGGAGAAATTCTCTGAAGGAGAATAAGTGGAATATCAAATCATTAAGAGGGGACCTGAGGTGTTCTGTTAGCTGGAAAACTTTATGACTGAGAAGACTTTCTCTGAGCATGCTGTGAAAATCACATAAGCACTGAAGAATGCTCTTACACTGTGGGTCTTTAAAAAAATTATAACCCCCAATAAGTACTACTATTCTGTTCTGAGAATCTACATACAGTTAGAATTTTAACCTAGGTGTCATTTATCAAAAGATAAACAGCTTATTTTTATAATTTTAATATTGCCTTTGAAGGTGAAGTTCTAACTGGATCCCTTTTTCCACATACTTATTTTGACACTGTGGTTCTTGTTTTAAGTGAATTAATTTGAGATTTTTGAAGGTCTGCTTATACAGAGATTCTTTAGAACACTCTGTCCCTGTGGTTAAAATGTACTATGACAGCTGCCATGTCAGGCATGAACACAGGGCCCGAGGGCAATGAGGAGGACAGGCCACCTGAGTGGCTAGGCCAAAGACACCTCCAGTGGAGGACATAAGGAATCCACTCCTGTCCCAGGGCCTGGACAGAGTTTGTTGGTTGGCTGAAGGAAATAATCAATTTCTAAGACACTGGGTTGAGTCCTCAAAGCCATCCTGATCTGGCTAATATTAGACTCCATTTTCAAAAGCATAGTGTGATTACAGGGAATAAAAATTGCATTTTAAGGGAGAATACTTGGATGTTTTAATTTCATATTTTGGCCAAATAGGTTAACTTGTATCTTATGTATTAATCAGCCTTCCTGTTGCTGAGACACAATGCCCAACACCCACAATTTAAAGGAGAGGCACAATGTGCTCCTGTTTTCAGGAGATTTAGTCTATGGCCAGCTGGCTCCAACACAGAAATATCATGGCAGAAGAGTGTGGCAGAGTTAAGATGCTTAGTTCTTAGTGGCCAGGAAGCATTATAAGAGAACACTGCCAAGGAAAAAGGGGTCAAGGACCATATACAGTACCAAAGGTCATACCTCCATGACCCCCACAAGTGTGCTATACAAACCTACCAGCCAGCTCCCATGCCAATCAAGATGACACAATTAAGCTTAATTGTCATACTGTGTTTCAGAAGAGTGAAGTGGTTAAATGCTGTAGCCCTACATCTGTGGAGTTGAGTAGGAACTTGGCTCTATCATTCTCAGTTCTGACCCCAGGGACGGTAGCGCATCCCCTCTCATCCTTTCTGAAAAATGGACAAAACAGTTACGACCCACTTCTTGAGCTGACAGGAGGACTGACTGGTGATCACACACTGTAACGGCCAGCTCAGTGCCTGGATGTGCAAAAAACACTCAAAGATATTAGCAGTCTTTTACAATTCCAATACTGCAAAAATTGTATCTCACCCCTCTGGGATAGTGTTCAGAAGGTCAGCAACACCCAAGGGGATGTTTTCTTCATCTCACCTAGTTTCCTTCCTCATTAAAATTTTACTCACAGATAAAATTAAAAAGCAAACAGGGGAGTCTATAAAATCATACCACAAAGACTGCATTAGTTCATAAGCCCCAACACTCTGGATGGCATACTGATAAGACTAGCTCATCCATGGCTAAGGCTGGGGTATTTACAACTGCTGGGTGCAACTTCTGCATGTCCACCATCTCCCGTGCAAGGAGCTACATTAGGATACAAGTTGAGAGTGACGCTATTCCAGGGACTGACTTACGAAAGAGAGTCACCCACTCTGTTGTTTACTGATGACCCCAATACCCACTCATTAGGACACATGGGATAGGACCTCAGCAAGCTCTAGTCAACCTGATGAGTCCCAGTGAATGCTGTCTCTTTCCTCCAAGGAAGCTTGGTGACAAAAAGTCACTGTAACAAAGGGTAGGAGAATATGTAAAGATTTTACAGTTTTCCCAAATGTTTCTGGGACTGAGCTATTCACTAATTTTACATTCACAGAACAACTCACAGAACCTGAGAATAAGGTGCTTAGGTGCCTCCCTCCCTCCCTCCCTCCCTCCTTTTTCAGTCCTGTCCTCCTTCCCTTCCTTCCAAGCAGCCAACAATACCACATTAAACTGTAGTATGTACTAAGAGTTCATGAACCTTCCTCAGCAGAGACCTCTTGCTAAATACTATTTTACCAACATTTAAAACACAATTTTTACCCTTTATCATCAAGACTAGCTGAGCTACTTTCTTTACTCAGAATGTGACCTGCATGTTTTTGCTCAGTGTTTTTGTTTTTGCTCTTCTCTGAATTCTACATGTCCATGAGCCCCCAAAGATCCATTCTAAATATTAACTCTTTGATGCAGTATTCTCAATTCTCTTAAGAGGAACTTCCCCTCCTGGAAGTATTACATGCATGCATTTTATTTGCACCATTCTTATAGTGCACTGCTTTCTCCTTTTAATTTCATGAAAATATAATACTATAAGATAATAATTACACTTTAATTACAACGGTGTAATAAGCACCTGGAAGACATGGCTTATGATTAATTTACATGTTTCCTCTCCAAGTGTACAATACAGAACACCTCATAAAATATCCAACAGGAATTAAATACATGGATTGAGTGGAAAGCAGCACAACACCTATATTGTGTCAGAGGAAAAAAAAGAAATGAAAAACAGATTGATATAACAGACCAGGTTCTGAACACACAACCACTGCCATTATGTGCTTGTGTGGTTACTGGTACCCACGTACATCTGGGTTCTCTTCATTGGTTCTTGCTCATGCTCTATCTCCCCCTCTTGCAACAATGCACCCTCATATGATTAGGATAATACAGTGGGCATGGTGTTGAGGAGGGAACAAGCATTCTCAAAGGTGGCATTTCCTATACACTGTCACTGAGCACCTGATCCTTCAGTTCCTTTCCAGCCTGGACATTCTGGTTCTGCTGCTTTTTGCATATGGGATATCAAAGGCAGGTCAGGGCACAGGTTCTGGTTGTTCTGGTAGTTTTCATTTTGGGACCCTGTGGAGCTCGAGTTGTGGAGCATCCTCAACTAGCTTTTTTTACTTAGGCTTACCAGTTTATCTAGCTTTACTACTTTTCTTAAATCAGTGTACATGGTTTCCCTCACTGATCTACATTGCTTTAACCTTATTCCATGTTAGAATTATTTTTAAAATATATGATTAATTTTTCTTACCCCAAGATATGTTTGTGCTTCTGAAAATCAAAAGCAGTTAAGAAATCCATAATTATTCACTCTCAATTCAAACTATTATCAATGCACATCTGTACGTTCTTAATGTGGCATAGTAGTAAAGTTAGTATAGGTACTGTAGAGGCATAATTATGTCATTAAAATGATAATAGCCTGGGCTTAATGGAGTGTTTTATATATACATATATAATGGATTCAATTAATACTGATGGAACAATCTGAGATAACTCAGTTAACTAGCCATTTCTGTTCTCCCCACAGGCAGGCCCTCTTGTTCCTAGGCCTGTACCCACTGAACTCATCTGAAAGCTGTAAGATGACCTGGAGCCTTACTCTACAGCAACCTGCTCAGAGGCACGTCCATCATTGGGCCACACAAATAATTTGTTTTACTACCATCGCCTAAGTGTTCTAAGCTTTGGAAGCTGTATTCTTGGAGGCAAAACAAACAAACAAACAAATAAAAAAAATCAGCTAACTATAAACTAAAGTCACCAGTGTAAGGATGAATCAGTTCCTCCATCTGGTAAAGCTTGTCTATAAACAGAGATTACCTTTCCCCCATTTCAAACATCACTGTATTTGAAATCCATTACAACTTAGAAAAATTAGGGAATCTTTCATCCATTTCCCCTTTTAAATCCATCCATTCCTGAATGGTGTTCCCACACTTTCATTCCCAGGCCACTGGTCCAAAGCTCAGCAAGAAGAAAAACCAAAGGCAGTGTTAACCCCTAAGAGACGCAACTAAGAGCACATTATTTGCTATAATTACACAACACCTGGTAAAAATGGTAACAGCTGCCATTTTCAAAGAGTTCACTCTATGCCAGGCACTATACATGGGCATAGTATACCATTACCTCATTTGCTAGCAAAGCAGCTGCTCATGTGTGAAGCACTCATTGCCATTCATTTTCATTAACATCACAGAAGCAAGGGACACAGAGGAGAACACGGAATGGGAGGCTCTGGGGTGCAAAGCCGCACATTTATTACAATGTGGAGAATCAGAATGTGATGGTGATGGGGAGACAGCCACGGGCCACCTTTCAAAGCACCTTGCTAAGTGACCAAATGGCCTCTTCTCACTCCAGGTCTCCTGGAATACCTGATTGTATTTCTTCCATTCTGGGTGATGCCCACGCTCCCCACCTACTCCTGCTTTGCTCACTTATTCCTACTGTCCAGGGAAACAAGAGAACAACTCATATCTGACAGGACAAGAAGAAAACCAAAAGCAAAGCAGCAACCATTCTTGCCAAGTTTGAGAATGCACCTACCTCTCCTTCATGACGCTCTAATTGGTACATCCAAAAGTTCTCCATCTTCTGGGTGCTATTTGGGCAGCTGGGCCAGCTCTAGGGCAATCACTCGGGAGCTGATGAGATGTCCTGACCCAAGTGCTCCTTTGCTAGACTGGTTCCAATTGTCTCAGGTACCCAAGTCAACACAACTGGTAACAGGAGATGTAACCACCTCCAGGGGTGTACAAGGCTCCACATTAACCCCTTAGTGCCTGCATGCCACACTGTCCTGCGTCACTGACGGGGAACCATCAGCTGATGTTTCTAAGAGGCTGGCCTGCACCCGCTGGGAATGGCACCTACTATTTCTGGGGAAAATAAACTGACTTCTGAGGTGCTACCAGCAACTTTCACACATCCAAACCCTGCTGTGTTTATAGAACCTGTGAAGAAGCATCTGGTGTTAAGGAAGGGGCGGGAGCCGGGAAAAGGTTCTCTCAGGCTCTGTGTCAGAATGCACCTGGACATGTGGGGAGAGCTCAGGAACACCAGCCAGCCAGTGGCCAGGCCTCTGGGGACACAGAGTGCTGAAGTGGACCCTTACTTTTCTTCACATTCACTGAGTGCACCTGAAAGCCTTGCTCTGCCACAAGAGTAAGAGGGCCATGACATTCCAGCAATGCAAGCTCAGAAAAAGCTGCCCCAGAGCCAGCATGGTTTGAGCCAAACAGACAGATGCCAGTTGGCCTCCAGAATCGGACTGTATCTGCTAGTGCATAGCAGAAAAGAGGAGGGTCTGAACAAAGCCAGCTAGAACTTATGCAAACTGGGCAGCAGAAGGATCATGAAGGCAGAGGACAGGAAGCTGTAGGGAGGACTTCCAGAGCCTTTGTACCTCGCCCTGGTCACGGCTCCGGGGACAGCAGGGATGCATAGAGGCCCTCATGCTAATTGGTCAGACATGCAGGCAGGTCTGTTTCTGAGTCCACTTGCTTAGTTATTGTGCTGTGATAGGGCCAAATGGTTGAAAAAAGAGACAAAGGATCTGAAACAATTCACAGCTGAAAATCCATCCATGCTCATTGCCAGTTTCTGATGCTATGGACAAATTCTGCAGGCCAATGTGGGAAATAGGCAGGAGGGGCATCTGTGGCATTTCCCTCTCTTTTCCCATTGTTCTTGTGTTTCTAATCACTCTCGCTAGCAGTCAGGCTGCACCTACTATAACCTGGGTCAACCTGATGCAAGTCCTGTAGCTGTCAGGCACCATTTGAGAAAGCCATTTTCAAAACAGTAGGCATTGAAGGGATCTTTTGATCCCCAGTTGATGGCAACTGGGATCCTCCTAAAACCCTTTTTTCCCCTCCCATTAATTATTTAAAAGACAGAAAAATCTGTGGGTGTTGATTCTCAAGTGTCTCTACTCTATAACTCTTCCTTGTTCATGGTGAAGTAATTTCCTGTTTGCACTCTTGAAGAGTGATGTGGCTTGGATTCATGAGCCACCCAGGACAGGGTGGCTGAAGGCATTAGTCTTTACTGCTGGTGCAGAAAGCTTGTAAAATTTCAGTTATTAGCTGGAGAACAACCAGCTCACACAAGACTGAAGATCATCAGGCAGACTAAAAGAAAAATAAAAACAACTCCTAGGCCTTCTGGAAAGTTAAAGAAAGCATCTACACATAGCATTTGACTGGCACAAGAGAACTCAGAATTCTCTTCTTAGCTCTTTTGTTTTCATTATCTCTTTCCTTTAATGTTCACTGTGCACCTGAAACCTGCTTAATTATTCACCACCTTCTCCATCCTTCATCAATGATGGATAACATGTGTGATGGAAAACTTTAGCAGCAAGAAGACAGCTGAGATGGGAGCATACAGAATAGAATCCACACGCCATGCCCCAGGGAGAGACCCAGGAACTGAGAACACCAGCCTCAAGGCCTGTTCTTCCCCGTCCAATTCCCCCAATACAATAGTACTCCTAAATTCTGAGCCTCCTTCCCCTTTTGCATCTTGGCACACAGAGAAATGATACTATTCACACAACATGCTGCATCAATTTGAGCCCAGAGGAGGCTGCGCTGGGCTGGAGGCAACATGTCTGGTGGCCCAGGTCACCTCCATCCCAAAGCCTGGGGAGATCCTCAGCTGAAAAGCTCGGCTACAATGTATGACTCTCTACTCATTTCTTTGGTCACTGATGGCCCCTTCAGAATAAAGTTAAAATCCTTTTACTTACAATCTATAGTGGACACACTTGTTCCCTCAGGAAAAAGCCACCTCTTTTTATTTCCACAGTGCTCCTGACTCAAGACACCAAATTGTTAGTGTATAGCAGTGGTGGTGAACCTGTGGCATGCATGCTGCAGGAGGCCGTTCATTATCACTGAAAGCTCTAAAACTCAAGACACCAAATAAAGATTAAGATGAAATCCTCAAGAGCAGAGAAGCTGAGAGGTGTGTTTGGGGGCTCGAAAAAGTACTACCCTGGAGTAAACTGCACACTCTGCCCAGGCAGAGCCTCTGCCTGTCACTGCTGTACTCCTGGGGTCTTGTACCATGCCTCACATATAGAGGAAACTAAAACACTTATTGGGTGAGTGGAAGATCAATTTTAAAATGGACTTTTAATTTGTGGATAGGGACAATAGTTACAACTCTCTCTAGCTCACTAGAATAGTGAGCAACAATGTAGCTTTGGGACCAGGCCATTTCTTATTCACAGACAACAGACTACATGGAGCAGGCATTCAATTAAACCCAAAACGATTGGGCTCAACTCAAGTCACTTTATGGAACTTTGCAACTGCTTTGCAGATACACGAGAACACATTCTTTTGATTTCATCTACTTGTCTAAGGAACGTCTTCCCATCGCTTTCTGAGGTCTGCATGGCAGAATATACAGGATCTCATTTCTGCCGTGCTGTCAGCAGATCTGTTGTCATTAAGGTAATGCCTCCACATAAGCTTCTGAGATAGTGACTTAAAGGGTTTTCTATGCCCCATAAATAGAAATGTTCTCTTTAAAGAGAACAAAGTTAATTTTAGAGTCAAGGCTGGGATGTACACTCTTCCATAGCAGGTCAGGAGAACAATCTGAGATGAGGATGCTTGGGGATCCAGTCCTCTGCAGGCCACAAATGCACACAGAATTAAGCCAGCTTTGGGAGACCATCCTTCCCTTTTCCCAGAATACATCCCACTCCAGCCAGAATTTTCTCTGTGAAAGTCAGGCTCCAACAGAGCACATACTTAACTAAATTCTGTCTACGTGACATCAGGTCCCTTGTCAACTCCATCCCCTGCTATCCAGATCCTGGAAAAATTCTGACTGGCCAGAACTCCACAAGCAAGAGTGAATCGTAAGAGAAAGACTCGGTTCAGAATACCTCATCAGGCAGGCGCCGGAACCACTGAGCTAAATCTCTGGCCCTCAGAATACCTCATCAGGAGTCCCCCATGAAAAATCAACAGTGTTCCTACACACCAATGATAGCGAACCTTTCAGAGCTTTCCACAATAACAAACAGCCTGCTGTAGCATCCATGCCACAGGTTCACCACCACGGCTATACACTAACAATGAACCCACCAAGAAAGAAACCAGGAAAACAATCCCATTAACAAGAGCTTCAAAGAATGAAATGCCTAGGAACTAACCTAACCAAGGAAGTAAAAGACCTCAAAAACTACAGTATTCTGAAAAAAGAAATTAAAGATGACACCAGAAAATGGAAAGATATCTCCTGTTTCTGGACAGACAGACCTAATATAGTCAAAATGGTCATATTACCTAAAGTGAAATATAGATTTAACACAATCCCAATAAAAAATACCAACAGCATTCTTCACAGTACAAGAAAAAAAAAATGATCCTAAAATTTATATGGAACCAGAGGAGACCCAAAACAACAAAAATCATCCTGGGCAACAAGAGGAAAACAGGAGGCACAACAATCCCAGATTTCAACTTCTATTACAAAGCTATAGTGAGGAAAACAGCATGGTACTGGCACAAAAACAGACATGCTGATCAGTGGAACAGAACTGAAGATATAGCTACAATTCCAAAAACCTTTAGCAATCTGATCTTTGAAAAAGGGCCAAAAATATATGCTGGAGAAAACATAGCTTCTCTAACAAATGGTGCTGTAAGAACTGGCTATCTATATGCAGAAGAATGAATCTAGACCCATATCTCTCATCCTGTGCTAAACT